TGTTATGTTGAAACACGACCACAGTTCCAAACACTTTATTGTCATCGTGACCAATTATCAGAATTACAGAGTTGATCACCAACAATTATATGGTTCGAAATCTTATGGTCCTTCCGATAATACAAGGTCTTCACAATGAACAACGATTATTAAGTTAATTACATTTAGTGACGTAAAACTACGTAACGCGCGACGTAACGCAATCACACAATACAATATCGATTAGTATTTAAACGATACACTCGCAATTTTTCATGTTCGCTAAAACAATCTTCCTAAGCCGTTTTTGACTTTTCTTTCCAAAAATAGAAGAAATTGTGCCGTTTCTACAAGGAGAGCATTGACGGTTATTAGGGATATCGTTTAGGGGCCATGAAAACGCGAATACAACTCCCATCATGCTATTTTATTCAAACTAGCGTCGCTGCATATTGCCTGTTAAATTTGTAAGTAACTGTAACTACTCTAARCAAACAATATTGCCTGTTAAATTTCGAATAACACCACAGCCTATATTTTYGCCCGACAGATGTTCATTCAATAAGTTTAGCATACAAATAAATCATGTCCTTCTCTAYGCAGGGAATGCAAGCGATACATAGCAGTTCTATTCATGTCCACGGGAGCCTGCGCTCATCSAAGTGTTTGATTGACAACCGTTGGGTGTGTAAAATCGCTGACTATGGACTGAATCTCATCAAGGCCAATCAGAAGAAAGATATTGAAATAGGCTCCCACGCTGCATATACTAGTAAGATTAAATACCAGTAATATACCAGGAAACCCATACACARGACCAGTAAGCTCTGACCAGTGACATACATGGGCGGTACAGCTCAATAAGCCTCATTTTGYATGAAACGGTCACATGGTACTAAATCCGCCATAGCGGATGGCAAAAGAATGTAAACATGTAAAACAAAAAGAACGCAGAAATCTAAGCTTATCTTTTCTCAGTTTAAAACATCACAGTGGGTATTTTGCCATCCAAGTGACACGGTGTATTTATGGTAACCATGTACCGTTTCATGCCAAAGGCCTATTTTGATAGACTCTTCTGTTTCACGATTAATAATAGCCCTAAGAAACCCCTTTCCCACCGTTTCACCGCCATTGCTGTATAGTTTATGGTCATAATGAAAAAATGATGGCAGAAATAAGCTTAAATCGAATAAAAATGATATATATCATAGACCCCACAATGTAGGATCTTGAATCTGATATGCTTTCAAATGTTTTATTGTAAGAGTTATATTGGAAAGCACCAGAGCTTCTAGATGGCTTTCAAAGCGGTAAAGAAGCAACGAGTCAACTTGGCGATGTTTACAGTTTTGGCATAATTCTAAACGAGCTCATAACAAGAGAAGAACCCTATTCATGTACAGATCTTTCACCTAGAGGTGAGCACTTTGTCCGGCATTGTTCATGATTATTGGTTGAGTCTGAGGATGATATGGAGGATTATTGTACGTAAAGACAGGGACGAATTTTAAATGTTTGTCTGAGAGTTCTTAGCTTTCCGCATTTCACGCACCGTGCTGGCAAAACGCAACATGAAAAAAAAAATATTTTTGCACAATATGCGTGATTTCAGAGCTCAACATGGAATATTGCTGAGCGATGCATGACCTCAGAGCATAACAAGAAAAGTTGTTGAGCAACGCTTGTGCTGTCGGAGTTATTACACCGCAAGGTTAAGATATATAAAAAACTCGTTTGGTAACGTTTGGCCAATCACAAACGAGTATACTATATAGTTTGAATAAAAAGCAATTAGAATTTGAATTGTCCTCTTTTTTAGATGTWATCGCACGGATTTGCAGTCGAACAAAGCCCCCATTTCGACCTCAGATTCCAATGTACGTATCAAACATTCCCATGATCGAACTGATGAAAATGTGTTGGGCTGATAATCCACACGACAGACCGACTTTTAGTGAAATTAAAAATAAACTTCGAGTCATGAACAAAGGAAAGTAAGTATTTCGAGAATAGAAATTCTAGAAAATTTGAATTATGGGAAGGAAGGAGAGCGGGAAAATAAGGAACGAAGCAAGTAAGAAATCAAAAGGAAAGAAAGAACGAACGAAAAAATAAGGAAAGAATGAAGGTAGGAAGGAAGGATTGAATCAAAGGATGAAGGGGGGAAAAAGGAGAAAAAGAAGCAATAAGCAGGAAATCAAGGGGGGAAAAGCAACGAAATAAGAAGGAAAGTATGCATGAAGGAAAGAAGGAAGGAGGGATAGATGGAAGGTAAAGCAAAAGAAAGAGAGAATGAAAAAGGAAGGAAGGAGGGAAGAAAGGGAGGAGGGAGGAAAGAAAGCAACGAAGGGAGGGAGGATGGAAGGGAGGGAGGAAGGGAAGAAACAAAAGAAGGATATGAGTATCTAAGTAAAGAAACAACAATTTTGTTATAAGAAACAACCAAAATTAACCGATTATGATGATCTGCCAGACACTCGATTGTTGACAACATGTTACGATTGATGGAGAACTACACCGACCAGCTTGAAAACATCGTGGAAGATCGGACAAGACAATTAGCTGAAGAGAAAGCCCGTACCGATCAGCTACTGCACAAAATGCTMCCAAGGTATCAAAACTATCTCAATTTGAGCTCCGGACTAAACATCGATAAATAAATTCCTCTTGATTATGTCACTGAAGCTCGTGTTTATTAACTATTTATACAGGTCTATAGCAGAATTATTAAAACAAGGACAGCCAATGATYGCTGAGAGTTTTAAGTCTGTTACCATATACTTCAGTGACATTGTAGGATTTACTTCTCTAGCAGCTATAAGCACACCTCTACAGGTAATGTACGGACACCTCGTTAATACGAGCACTTTTGTACTGAGGTGAAAAAACTCTCTAAGCTGAGTATGTGAGGAAACGGAGGAAACCCACATAAAACGACCATTTACGTCACGAGCATTTCGTACAGTACTGGTACTTTCGTATTTTGAGCGCGTATTTTTTTCACTAAACGGACCTTTATAAAGTAGAAGAAATTATTATTTTTTTGTTGACATAAAATCTGTTAATTTCGTTTTCACAATAGGTTTTATCCAACCTGGTGTGCTTTCATAGAGGTKTTGAGCTTTTGAATTGCCCTTCATTTCCTCAAGGACACAGACAATTATACAATAATGTTACGAAASCACGTCAGTGCGGACTTGACTTAAAACAATTTGCTCATTTTCGACAGACTATTGAATGATGATGTCAATGTTTGACAAARATTTCATGTACGCCTTGCTTTGTGTACACTAATTATTAATTTGATTTTAYTGTTGGTGCAGCCGTTCGAAGGCATTAWTTGCTAATTTTTATTATTATTTCAGGTTGTGCACTTTTTGAACGATTTATACGTGAACTTCGACACCATTATAGACTCCTTCAACGTTTACAAAGTAAATATTATCTTATTATATTGAGTTATTGATTAATAATAATTATTGATAATCATCAATAATTTATAGTGCAATCATTTTTAACCTTAATGTTTCAAATGATTATCAATTATCGACTGCTTCAACGTTTACAAAGTAAATGTTATCTTGTTATCTTGAGTTACTAATTAATAATAATTATTTATAATACTCCAGCTTCAAATCTTATTTGTGCAGCCATAACCTCGAAAGCATGTAATATTTTCTTTATTCAGCAGAGATCCTATTGTAATGCAAACACCCTGTGTACAAAGAAGACAATAAAAATTTATGCTTGATTGAAGCTAAGCTTACACAAAAGAGAATTCAAAACTGGAGTATTATCTATAATTTATAATGCAATCAATTCTTACCTTAAATGTTTCCAATGTATCGTTGGATGGTAATATTGATTTGGAGCCAGTAATTGCATCAATCTGTCTGCAAAATAATCAAGTAATWATCATCCAATCATGTGTCAGGTAGAGACAATAGGAGATGCTTACATGGTTGTTTCTGGGCTTCCTGTGCCTAATGGTAACAAACATGCTGAGGAAATAGCRACAATGTCCCTACAACTGCTCAAGTCAATCATGGACTTTAAGATAAGACATCTGGAGAGTAGAAGGCTTGAAATAAGA